GGAGCAGAAAGCAGACGCACAATTTCTGACTTTACACCGTGCAAAAATCAAAGGTCCTCCCCCAAAACACACTTTGCTTTCATATCTATTTCTGTCCGAAAACATTACGATATAGTTATGTGTCTCTCTCTTTTTATATCAATGGAACTCTTCCTTATTCTGTATAATCTGATTAATCCAAACAAAGTCAAAGGGCTTCTGTTAGTGTTGTACAAGATTTTCTGATTTCATATTAGTCAATTCACACACTTTTCTACGATCAAGACGAGCTTGCTATGACTCTCTGGCACTGAAACGTAACTGGACACCAAACACAGTTTATAACATAATTCATTATAACTTTAGAAACTTTCAACAGCAACGATTATTTTGTTTTTTTGTTGCATATGAAAATATTAAATTAAATGACTAAAATAAAAATATTATCTGGCACAAAAGATTGAAAGAAAACTCATTTTAAACAGCTGATCATTTACAGTGACTTTGAAACAGTGGATTTTTTTCATTTAATCGACCGAATGGCGAAGATATCAAATATCAAAAGATCTGAGGTTGCTCTTAGCATTGCTTATTTGTTATCTCACTTTTGTCATAAAATGTTACTTATAAATATGGTAATGTAACTTTATCCCAGGTTATAAAGTCACCTGAAGCAGCAAACTAACATCAATGCAACCATGCACCAAAATGCCATTAAATGACTACATATATATTTTTTAATGCGGTTAGTTTTATGCAATAAGTGTTTAATTTACCTTTTTCCCATTGATGAAAAAGCACAAAGTATCTCCTCTCTTTGCAGACATCGTTCCTCTGAACACAAAAGCAACACAAGCACTAATTGAGCCGCAACACTTCCGTTTTATGTCCTTTCACAATCAATGGTAGATAAAAAAGAACACGTGGGTGGAAATAATGAGTTTCTGAATTTTTTGGCGGGTTTTGAAAGTTTAGTTCAATGATATATATACATATTTACATTAAAAAAGTGGAATCGATTCAATAGTTAGACTTGGCATGACAAGACTTTCAATGATGTTACTGAAAATGATATTTTGGAATTTTGAAATGTTTGAATTAAAGCTATATACATAAAATTATTATTACAAAGTAATAAGGATGTATGTGAGATGTAATTTGCCTACCCTTTCCTAAACAATAATAGTAACAGAAACTGTAAATTGTTTTATAGCTAGCTAGTTCTGTTGCTAATTAGCAACTAGCCCTTAAGCTAACTAAATAGATAGCTACACTGCATATGTAGCTAACTAGCTGCTAGCCAGTAAGATAACCGGATAGCTAACTAGAAAGCTAATTAAATAGATGACTAGACCACATTATTATGTGTGATAAGTAATTTGCTAATTTGCAAAACTTCCAGATAGTCAATGACACGACCAGACTCACCTCTCCAATTAGAAGATGAACTCCATTTTGCTGCTTATCCACCAAACTAACTATATGGCTAGCTAGCAGGCAAACTAGCATCTAGAAAACTTTATAGATAGAAACGACGCACATCTGGAAAACGATTCCAGACTGTAATTGTCTTCATTCTTCTTTATTTAGAAGAAAACCCTTTATTTCTCCTGATAAACCCTTTCTGTGTCATTCTGCCTCCTTGAACCCAACTTCATCTTAAGGTCACATCCTAAGTCTCCCATAACTGAAACAAACATGGCCTGATTTCACACACAAAAACAAACACACACAGACTCTCAGTATTATTTATTGAGATGATTTTGTTTTTAAGCATGTCATTTCAGTGATAGACAGAAATAAGCTACTATATTCTGATTTCTTTTTTTTTTAGCAGAAACAGAAAGTTGTTGAATAATTACACACTAAACTATGGCAAAGCCATTCACAGTTTTTCTAAAATACTATGCAAAAGCTGAATCCAAAAAATACTAACTGTACTTTCTTTAGTCAGCAATAGTTAATAATTCACAGTGTATTATAAACATGAAACACACCTGACTGGAATGAATGATGGATTTACTGTAAGTCCTTTTATCACCTGTAAGAAAGTACAGTTTGGCAACATGAGACATTATCAGCATGATTAGACAGGACAGGCGTGACAACAATGGCACAAAAGTCTGCCATTGTTTTCAGGGAAAGTTTCACAAGAGGGTCTAACGAAAGAGGACGCTTTTGAGATATTTATGTGGAGAAAAAAGCTTTTTGGAGGAGAAGGATGAACATAAAGCATAACTTTTCTCTTGAATTTTTGTTGTTTGTGCCATAGTGTAATTTCTAAGTTTTAAGTTGTGTTTTTGTCAGTTGAACATCACCATTTCTAGTCAATATTTATTCGTGCTGGGACCAAAACTGCAAAAGTAACAAAGGAAAACTAATATGTTGAACGAGGCTGTACCAAGAACTTTTTTGGACAACAAACTAGATCCTTTGGGCTTTTTTTTTGGTTTAGCAGAGTCACTTACCAAGTACAGACCACAGTTAGACCCCCAGATTTTTAGGATGCAGGGTCGGAACAAAGAGAAAGGAGGAGTAGGTTTGAACCATTGCTTTCCTAATCATCATGGGAAATGTGTGCTCAGTGTTAGCTAAAACAGGGATCTTGCAGCCCTGATGAGGACCTATCAAGAATATGAGGCAATAGTATTTTTAGTGGGAAATACTAAAACTAGCTTATTTATAAATGGCTCTTCACACAGGCTTAAGGAACAATAGTTAGCAGTGATTTGGTTGATATTCGGTTTCAGATGTTCAGGGCCCATGGTTTGAATGATCCAGGCTCGCTGGCTTCAATCTGGAAGAAAAACAATAAAAAGTTTGATGGTTCATTAAACATTTGAAACGTTTTTTTTTAGCTGAAATGAAGGTGGTGGCAGGTCTGCTCACCTTCTGGGTGAACGGGGAGGCGCAGGCCAGGCAGGCTCTCTCC